CACTCTAACCTCTTTTTTTTTTTTCCTTCCCCTCCCCCATGGGTTTCTGTTAAGTTTCTCAGGATCCGCATGAGAGTGAAAACATATGGTATCTTTCTTTCTCTGTATGGCTTTGTATGAAAATATCTTAAATTATTCAATCGGGTGCCCCCTAATGAACTTCACCTTGTACAATGTTTTTGTTTTGTTTTGTTTTTGAAGTGTATTTATTTATTTTGAGAGAGAGAGAGCGTAAGCACGCACGCGAGCACAAGCGGGGGAGGAACAGAGAGAGATGGGGAGGGAGAAAGTCCCAAGGAGGCTCCGCACTGTCAGCACAGAGCCCGATGGAGGGCTCGATCTCATGAACCGTGAGATCACGACCTGAGCCGAAATCAAGAGTCAGATGCTCAACCGACTGAGCCACCCAGGCGCCCTTCACCTTGCACAATGTTTTTGTATGTAATATACAGATAATATCACAGAGTTAGATAATAATATAATATCACGGAACTAGAATTGCGTAGCCAAAGGGTGTGTCCTTGTTAATATTTGAGAAGCTGCCAAACTGGCCTCCAGAAAGATTATCCCAGAGCAGATCTCCACCAGCATTATGAGATGCTGGTGAGACGCTGGTGAGAGCTGATGGACGTTTTCAACATGTTTTCAACCACATTCCAGATTTTATTCCCAGCCTGCACCGCTGTACCAGATTTGTACATCCATCATGTCCTTGATATTGTCGCCTTGGCCATCTGAAGGTATCTCAAACTTAGTATGTCCAGAGTAGAGCCCCTCCTCCTCCTCAGTCTTCTCCATTTCGGGTTTTGGGAGCTGCCTCCTTCCCTGGCCCAGCCAGAAGCTTGGAGTCATCCTTGACTCCTCTCTTGATCACGCTGGCCCCACTGGTAATTCTTGCTGGCTCTCCCATCAGACTGTATCCGGAGTCCTACCGCTTCTCATGACCCCCACTCCTACCGCCAAGGTCTGGACCACCATCTCCATCACCTGAATTACTGCGAGAGCCTCGTCCCCATTACCTCTCGCCTCCTCTCATTATCTCTCTCCCTCTGCCCCAGTCGCACTGGATTCCTTGCCGGTCCCCCAACACACCAGCCACACACCTGCCTCAGCCTTGACACTTCCTGTCCCCTCTGCCCAGAATCCTCTTTCCCAGATATCCCCGAAAGGCTCTCCTACATGTCTTTGCTCAAATGTCACTTCCCTTGTAAGATCCAGCCCATTTAAAATCGAACCCTCTCCCTTCCAGAATTCCCTCACCTTACACACCTTGTAATATACAACTCACTTCTTATGTTTATTATAGCGTCTCTTTTTGTCCTACTAGAAGTTAAGCTCCACGAGGACAGGGGTTTGGAGTATATTTTGTTCAGTGACGATTCCCAAGCCTCTAGAACTGTGCCTGGTACAGAGTAGGTGCCCTATAAATGTTTTTGAACAAATGAAATAGCAGAGCAGGGTCCTCTCCAGTTCACGGACGTAAGTGTGCTCCTCCCTCACAGGGGGGTCTGAGGGCCAGTCTCCTGAGTATTTCCCCACACCTGTGGGGTGGTATAGGGTTGGGGCAAGCATTGGAACCTGGTCCACAGTGAAAGAAACATCACAGTTATCTTCACAAACAAATACACCATGAAAATCTCACAAATATAATTATGGAAAAGTAACCCAGGTTGTCCCATATCATCCTGGGATGACCAATGGGCCCTGACACCCTGTGGTCCATCCCAGCATCCTGGATCCCTGCACAGTCAGTACTGTCTTCCTGGCATGATCTGAGCACCCGCACCTGCCATAGCCGCTTCCTTGGAAGAGGCCGCCTTCATCTTTCCTCCCAGTGCGTCCGGATTTGGGTCCGGGACCCTCTGGAGTGGGGCTCAGATGGGGTTTTCCAGGCCTCGCAAGCATCAGGGCACGCCCTTAGACCAAGAGCCTGAGGCTGGGCTCTGTGACCACCAGGCTCAGTAGAGGGGGCCAGGTAGGGGACAGCCGCGGGGAGAGAGGATTCCAGTCTATGTCTGTCCAGCAGGCACTTACTTGTACCAGGTAGGGGACATCTGTCATTTCAGTGGACTCCAAGGGAAACTGCAGCTCCTGACTGTGGAGCTCACAGAAATGAAGGGATTGCTCAAAGTGTCACAACAGGAAGCCATGCAGCCGATTTAAAGAGCCCCTCATCCCCGTGCCCTGGGGCAGGGGCTTCTAAGACCAGGAAGGGCGGAATAAACCACCGCACCTACTCAGAGTTGCCTAGGTTTGCATTTCTGGGGGATGGAGTGGGAGGGGCCAGTCCTGAAACACAGAGGAGCCCGACAGTCCCGAAAGTTGACATTCAGGTTTGATCCTTTCCCTCCCCAGGCCTCTAGAATGAATAGTGGTGGAGTGGCCTGGGAAGTGACTGGAGGTAGGCACGACCCTAATACTAGGTCTCACTAGGTGTCCCCTGTCTGCAGTCATCCCAGAAGCCCCCTTCTCCTGCACCCCTCCCCCCCCCCACACACACACTGAAGACAGGATAGTCCACTGAGGTGGCAAGATGCCTGAAACTCCACCACAGGACAACATGGTTGGCCATGCACGGCCCCTCTCTGCACACTAACTGAGCTTGCCAGAAGTCCTGTGAGTCACCAGGATCTCAGGGCATCTTGCAGAGGTAACTGAGAGCTGGGTTTCGGGGAGGGTAATTCAGGCGCCAGGCCAGGGCTGGGCCCACAGAGGGCCCTGCTTGTTTAGGGCAGGGGTTTGTGGTTGGGCACAAAGCCTCATGCTAGGCCCTCCAGGCTCCCTCCCCTCCAAAGACGAATAGCTATACTCCCCTCACAGGCGGGCAGAGTGCCTCCCAGCCTGTGAGAGAGGGAGGGGCCGACAGGGGAGGTGAGGACAGTACCCCGGAGTGTAGACTGACCCACAGGTCAGGGCGGCAGCCTGGTTGCTCTGAGCAGGGCGTCGCCCAGCCCTCTTTTCTGGCAGAACCTGGTTGCCTGTGCCAACTCTGAGTCAGCCATGCCTAATAATCTCAGGCCAGGAAGGAGGCTTCAGCTCCTCTGCTTGGGCCAGATGCCGGACGAGGGCCTGAGTGGGGTGGGTCTGGGGTACGTAAAGGAAGAGCCTGGCTGCAGCGCCCCCCCCCCCCCCCCCCCCCAGGCACCTGGGTGAAAGTCCTAAATAACACTCTAGTTTGGAGCCTGGGGCTCAGAGCTGGGAGGTGACGTGAATAAATAGGAATGATGCTTGAGATGAAGCCAAGGCAACTGCTGGTGTCAGAATTTCAGCAGGTCTCTGCCTGGAAAGAGGAACAGGGCTTGAGGAGGCCTGACTTGCTGAGTAGAGGGTATTGTAGGCCCAGGCCCCCCTGGGAAAGTCAGTGTTCCCCAAAGGGCAGGCCTGGGGACATGCGTTCTAGCCTAGAATTGAGAGGGAGAGACAGACGTGAGGGCAGAGAAAGGACCCCCTCATCCACCCTGCCCCCAGGCGGGGGCTCCAAAGTGAGGCCTGCCGGTGTGGACTTGCTCATCCCAGACTGGAAGGGAAACCAAGGAGGGCTCTGACAGGCCTGCCAGGGGCAGGGGCGGGTGGCGCTCCTACTGAAGGACAGGACCACTGAACTCAGTGCCAGATAAAGGACTAGACCTTCTCTATGTGCAGGAGGCCCAGGCGGGGAGGGGGCTCTCCAAAGTCTGGAGGTTCCGACCCAGTCTCAGCCGTCAGAACAGTAAGATCTGCCCTCTGGTTTACACCCCTCCCTGAGGTATTCAAGGCCACCTAGGCCCGGTTGGCTGGGAAGAGGAAGGATTGAGGTGAGCCAGGCCTCGTCCTCCTCCAAGAGGGGTCCAACGGGCTTCTGCCAGACTCTCACATCGGCTTTACCAGCCCAGGAAGCCTGGATGATTCACTGGTGGGCCCGGCACCCTTCATCCTGGGAGGCCTTGTGGAGCCTCTCCCAAAGGGTGATAGGCAGCAGGATTCCCGGACTTTCGGGGGGGGGTGTATCTGGGTACCCTATAAAGAGGGTGTCTGGGTTGCAAGACTTGAGGGGATACAAGGGACCATAAGGGCCTCTTGTTCAGACAGCCCCTTGGGAAGCTACGCAAAGAAAGGACCCTGGAGATGTAACCCCACCCTAGGTCCCGTCCCTCCACTCTACTGCACAGATCGCCAGGGGGTTGGGGTGTGAGAGGCTCAAAGGTGAGCTCCCTGCATCTAATTGCTGTAAACTTTCCCTGCCTGAGTCCCAGCCCTCACCAAAGGCACTCTTGGGGTTAGAAACTTCCCATCGAGAGAAGAGGGTAGCCTCCTTCGGACGAGGTTCAGGCATACCTCTCCGAGGACCTCCTAACCCGTGCCCGTGCACCCATTTTGCAGAAGGGAAAGTACAGCTCTGGGGAACCTCTGCTGGCCGCCCGGCCGCCCAGGCTCCCTTTCGCAGCAGCCCGGCTGGGCGTCGGAGGCTACGCGGTCCTTTCCCCAGAATGACGCGATTCTTTCGAGCATCACCCCAACCCTGGCGAGGCGCCTACAAGTAGGGCGTGGGGCCGGGCCGCCCGCGGTAATGACAGGGCCCGCGGCCTGTGGGTGGCGGCGGCGGAGGAAGCGGGAGGAATCTGGCTATTTCTGGCCGGGACGCGCCCACTAGCCTGGGCCAGGGTTGGGGGGGGGCTGCTCGGCCCCCACCTCGGCCCTCCCCGATCCCCTGGAGGGGGCGGGGAGAGACGCGGGTTGGCGGGTCCAGGGGGCGGGGCGGCGTCCCGGGCCCACCTCCGGTCTCCTCCCACCGCAGTCCCTTCGGGTCCCTCCACCTTACTCGGCTCGGACCCGAGGCCATCGGCGCAGTCGCCGCGCACGTGTGTCGCGCGGCGCCCCCTCCCGCTGCGCCGCCCGTCGGGCATGGACTCGGGCCGGGACTTCCTGACCCTGCACGGTGAGTTCCTGGCTGGCGTGCGGGCAGACCCTGAGCGGGCCGACCCCCGCGGAAAGCCGTTCCCGGCCCTGGGCGGGGGGCCCGAGGCTCCTCCGGCTGCCCTCCGCCCCGCCCCGGGCCCGCCTCTCGGCCCTTTTGTTGCATTGGGGAAATCTCGGCCCGGGACTCTCGGGGTGGGACTGCCCCGCAAGACCTTGGGCGTCTCCAGGCTTGTCCCCCAGATCTGGCCGGGGGGGGGGGGGGGGGGCGGGTCGTGACTCTGAAGACTTCCCTGAAGGCTACCCCCGACTCTGCCTGAAAGATTCTGCCTTTTTCTGGTCTCAGAAGGTTGGGCTGTATGGTCGAGAGAAGGCTGCTGGTAGCCGGAGGGACAGGAGACCAACATCCACAGTAACAAGTTTTCCCCCGCGATCCGGGCTGCCCGAGAGGCTCCCCAAATCCCAGGCGTGCCTGGACCGCGTCTGGCCGAGCGGGTGTGGCGCGGGGAGGAGGGGGGGGGAAGGAGAGGCGGAGGTGTGCAAGGAAGGCGGGGGGGGGGGGGGGGGGGAGAGGAGGAGGCAAGTTCGGGCTGGGGGGCGGCTGTAACTGCCCCGCGCAGAAATCCTGGTCAGCGATGCACCAGCTGGAAGGAGCTGCGCGACCCTCGTAACCGCGCACCCTCCTGGCGGGGCCGGGCCAAGTCTCACCGCGCACTGCCTGCCGCTTCACCCTTTGTCCAGCCGAGTTCTGGCCCTCCGACCCACCGGGGAAACAGTCTGGGCCGGCTCCTGGCCATATTGCTGTCCCTCCAGGAGAAAAAGCAGCGGTGGGCTCCCCCACTGCAGGGCCTTGGCGGTCTTCTGGCACGTCAGGACCCTCAACCTGGTCTGGCATTCTTTGCTCCGCCCTGGGGACTCACCCACTCTTAAGGGTATCTTGTCCTCCTGGCTCCTGAGATCGTCTGCCAATTCAGCAAACCCTGCCCTTCACGCCAATCACTGCTTAACCATAACTCGGCGTTCTCTGGCGTCCCTGGGGTTGGAGGCTTCAGTGTCCACCACTCAACCATCTAAACCATACAGGGAGATAATAGATGGGAAGGAGAAAGGCAGAGCCCTCCAGCTGACCACTAGAGACCCCCTGGATTTCAGGGGGATAGGAGATGTTCTTTTCAGCCAGTCCCCCAGTCTATCTTGTGTTTCCCAGTTGGCCTGCACGTGGTCTCCATGGCCCAAAGAGACCTTTGCTCAGTGCCCAGAGCTGTTACCCTCACACCAGTAGCCTGGGCTCCGCCAGGCAATCTCGTCCAGCTGGGTCATGGGGTTCCTGCCCCCTTTCCATTGCTCCCTCTTCTGTCCTCAGACCAGACGTGTTCTTAGTGCTTCTGCCAGACTGGCAGAAAGGGAGGCTGGATGGTTCAGAGCACCAGAGTAGAGACCTCTGCTTTCTCTCTCATCCCTTGGTTAGTGCCCTCTACCCTGCAGACTGCCACGTCTTCCATGCCTGTCTCACCCTCAGGTCTCCTCCTCCTGCAAGCCCTCTGGTCGCCTCTGGCCCAGCTCATGTTGGAATGGGCTCCATTCTCGGGCATCTGTGCCTTTGTGCAATAGCTCTTCCCTGGTGTCTTTCCCGGAGAGGAAGCTACGTGGAGGGACTGTGGCGTGGGTTTGGCCGCGCTGGCCCCTTCGGTTTGAGACCTGCCTCCCAAATGCCTCACTCTGTCCAGCCCTTCCTGTGGGGCCGTCATGAACACTACAATCCTAAATCGTTTCTCTGAAGGCCCTCCTACTTCTAGCACATCACCCAGAATTGCATCCCTTAATTACCTTTGTCCCCCCTGCTACAAACCAAATCAGGAAGCAAGAACCTGTCAAGGAGAATTGATGGTGGGAAGGGGTGGTCACTGTGACCTGTGCTGTTCCAGATTGTCCACGCTGCATCCCTTTCATATTTTGTGCCCCCCAGCACTGGCCATGTGCTGTAGGACCACACCATCTGGTCTGGGCAGTTGGCAGTCTGCTGCAGAAAGGCCCCCTCCATTGGCCCGGGGTCGGGGGTGGGGGGTGGGGGGTGGGGTGGGGGGAGGGCGCCACACAGCCTACCTAGATAGGAGATGTCCCTTACGTCCTCACCCCAGATGCATGCGGATGAAGTGTAGTCTATAGGCATGCATTCTGAAGGCAGGCTATATGAGTTCAAGCCTTGACTTTTTCATCTCAGACAGATCCCTTGATTTCTTTGTGCCTCAGTTTCCTCAGCAAAATAGGGGATAAGAATGCTACCTACCTCACAGGCTTGCTGTAAGGACTGAATGCGGTAATATGTATAAGGCAATGGAAACAGTGCCTGGTACTCAGCAGGGGCTACGTTTCTGCAGGAGGTTCACCCCCAGGTGGTCATGCCCTGTGCGTTCTTTGGGAGATGAGGGGGCACCATAAGATAGTCCCTTGCTAGGAAAAATGTGACCAGAACAGGACTCGAGAACCAAGGGGCTCTTTCTGGTGCCTCTGAAGCCCTCAGACTGATGCTCCAGTCCCCTGGCCTCCTTCCCCTCCTCCACTACCCCTGCTGTCTCCATTCTAGCCAGGCCCGCATCCTAGCCAGTCGCGGCCTCTCCAGCAGCTCCCCAAATGTGCCCGAAAGGATACTACCTCCCAGGCCCTCCCCTCACGGAACACATCCACCTTTACCAACTTTTCCTGCACCAAATCCACCCTGCCCCACTCTACAACTGGCATTTGTGAAAGCGGAAGTCAGGCTGTAGGAGGGCCCCCAGGAACCCTGGGCTCCAGTCCTCATTTCGCATCTCTTTATGTTATGACCCTGAGCAAGTCTTCTTGCCTCTCTGGGCCCTTTCTTTTCACCCATGGTATACAACATCCATTTGCAGGGGATGTCGTAAGGACAAGGCACTTATGGGCATAGGAGCTCCAGGTGGGCAAAAAAGCCGGTGCCCTCAAGAGATAACGGTTCCAGGGCCATCATAGCAGGTGGGGGTGGCCAGCCCCCTGTTCACCTCAGTTATGTTTCAAACCTGCCTGTCTCCGGAGTTCCAGGCCCATACCCCACAGGCACACCGATCCACGCTGATCCTAACATTTTGTGCCATAGGTCACTTTGGCGGTCAGATGAAGCCTGTGGACGCCTGCTCAGGGTCATGTGTTTAAGTGCATAAAAGAAAATACATGAGCATTCGAAGGAAGCAAGTTACACTGAAGTGTGATTCTATCCATAGGCCCTTGGGGTGGGGGGTGGTCCTTGGTCGTCTGAATGAGAACCCTTGTGTGGTTTCTCTAAAACAGGCTTACCTTGCCCTCTGCCCGCTCCCCTCCAAATAAAGAACAACTTGCCTGTGCCGGTATTTCAGCTCATCTACACCAACACACGTTCTCACGATGTACTTACTCTCTGTGACGTGACCTTAGGCAAATCACTGTGCGCTTCAGTTTATTGTTAGTATTGCTTTGCTTGGCTGTGCTAATGGCTGGCTTTGAGGGTGACTCACTGCCCGCGCTGGTGACTGGAGCTGCAGTGAGGCGAATGGAGGAACTATTCAGAGGCGGAGAGTAAAAGAAGGGTGAGTCAGGCCTCTGGGTGGTGTTCTGACCTTGGCACACAGTAGGGGCTGGATGCATGAAAGAGAAGTTGTAACTTCCATGAAAGGTCCCACTGTTCCCGAGCACACTGGCGGCCCAGTTTTGTATAAAGTTGCGGTAGTTCTCGTCTGTTAATCAAAGCAAGCCTGCGTGAATGGGCTCATTTTTAAGATCAGCCTTTTTCAAGAATTCCATTCGCATTCGCAACCGTGGAGATGACCCCACTCTGGTGGAGAAACCGAGAAAAGAAAACAGGCCCGCCTGAGGTTCACAAGCGAGGCAACAGCTGAATTACAATGAATTCGTTGAGTAATTGAGGTAAAATACTTGGCAGGCTTGGTGGTCTGCCCCAGGCTCCAGCCCAGGCTCCTCCTTAACCCGCCCCATCCCGTCTTCCTGGACTCGTCCGCGGGGGCCGCCGCCACCCAGTCTCCCCTCCTCTGCTCAATCTCGCTCCAGCTTCTGGTCCTTCGCCCGGCCCCCAGCAGGTGTTTCCCCGGTGGACACCGCCTCCAAAGCCGAAATTCCTCCCTTCCCTGCGCGAACCCCGCGTTTTTAGGGCGGTTTACCCTCCCCTGGTCTGCCCTCTGGACCTCGGCTCCGCCCCTTGAGTGAGGCTCTGCCTCCAAGTTGCTTCCCAGACCCGGTTCCTTTCCTTCGCCCCCCGACCCCAGCTTCTGGGGCTGTGGCTCCGCCCCCTATCAGCTTTCTGGGCTGTGGCTTTCGCCACAGATCTGCTTCCTGGGTTACGGATTTGTCCCACTCCCGCCTCTCTGGCTCCTCCTTTCCCCGCCTGGGGCCCGCCCCCCGGGGCCGAAGGTCCCGCCCCCCCGGGACTGGCCACGTCTCTTAGGGTCTGCCTCCGCCCCTTTCAGCCCAGATTTCTCTCACGCCCCGCCTCTAGGGCCGAGGCTCCGCCCTTCCAGGTTAGCCCCTCCTTCTGGATTCTGGCCCCGCCCCCCACGCCCGGACTCCTCCCCTGCTCCCCTCGGGGCGGTGCTTCCGCCCCCAGGGCCAGGGCTTTCTAGAGGCTTTGCAGTCCCGGGCCAGGCTCGGTGACGGCAGAGGCACCGGGGAGCGTCATGCAATGCCTAGGAATCCGCAGCCGGACCCGCTCCAGAGAGCTCTACCTGCAGGAGCAGAGCCTCAAGGTGGCAGCGCTCAATGGGCAGAGGCTGGGTAAGGGACCAGGAGGGCACCTATCTCCTCTGGGAAGGCAGCTGGGACACGATGTAGGTAGACCGTATGTCCCTGAGCTCGGGATTCCTGCCTTCGATCCTTTGATTGGACATGTTCAGTGCTTCTGTGAGTGAGAGCCACGGTGGGGCTGTGTTTGCAGGGATGGCGTGTGGGGTGAGTATGGGGGGACTGGTTACCTCTTCTGATCTACCTGAGCCCCTCCAAAGTGCCCTCCTTGCCACCCCTAGCCCCTCCTGTTTACAGATTTCTGAGGCATTACTAGGTATGTGGCCCAGGGTAATGACTCTGTAACCCAGTGAGATGATTGTTTGAGACTACGTGATCCAGTGTGATGCTGTGCAAGTGTGAGTGACAAATGTGACATTGGGTGACCCAGTGTGTGACCTAGTGGTGATTCTGTCCCTCGTGCGGCATGTGGGGCCACTGTGCAGCAGCGATGAGATGTAACGTGTGTGTGACACCGTGGCACCAGTGTGACAGCGTCTGATCCAGTGTGATGCCGTGTGACTGCGCGTGTCCCAGGTGACCGATTCTGTTTTTCTGTGTTACAATATGTGTTACGTGGATTTTCTGACAGTGCTCTTTGTAACATTACTCATTGTGCCTGAGTAGTGACTACATAAGGCAGTGTTTCTTAGCACTAACCCTTGGGCAGGCTTCTGAGTCCTGACTCCACCGTGTAACTTCCTTGAGCCTCAGTTTCCTCATCTGTAAAATGGGAGTAATGATAGTGCCTTCTTCATAGGGTTGTTGGGGAGATTAAATACACGTGCTAAGATCAGCATCTTAGTCAAATCCTGACCATTAATGTTATGGTGGCTGCTATTATCATCGTTGTTATGATGATGTTCTGGCGATGTTGAGGACGGCAGTGTGTGATTGTGTAGCTGTGCGTTGCCGTGGGTCCCAGACCCGATTTGTCTCCATTATGCATCACCCTAGGTGCACGGGGGCAGGATTCCTGGCACCCCCCTCAGCCTCTTGGCACCCGCAGCACCCTCCGTACTCACAGAGGCCACCTCGCTGCGTGTAGCCAGCCGGGGCAGGCTGCAGATCAGCCCAGGGGCCCCTGAGCTCAGAGGCCGCTTCTCAGGAGGAGAAGGTACCACAGATGAGCAGGTGGGGCTGGGCGCGGGGTGTCCCTAGACTTTCCGGGTGCTCAGGGAGGGAAAGTGGTGGGGCGGGCAGCCCGGAGGCCTCAGAGACAAAAGGGCCGCAGGTGAGGCTCAGAGGTAGGGGTGCCCGCCCAGGTTTGCTAATGGCCCAGGAGGCAGTGGCGATTATCAAGGCCCACCTTGGGGCTGAGGTCCGTGTTCCGGAAGCCACGTCGGCAGCCGGGGGACTTATCTCTGCCTGACCGCAGACAGGGCCACGGCCCGTCTCCAGGACAGGATGAACATGTCATCTCCTCACGGTGTTTTCCAGGGCCGGAGGGTGGGGCTCACCTTCGACTGTCCGACCCCGTCCCCCCATTACCATCTGTGGTGCTGGCAGCGGCTGGCCCTGATGAGTGCCCGGCTTGGGCCAGGCAGAGGGTCCGGAGAGGTCCCTGGCAGTCCTACCTCAGCCTCAGAAAGGACAGCGGAATGAATGCCCCAGCAGAGGCTGGGGGACTCCCTTCGGGCATCCGGGAACTCCCTTCCCCCTTCCTCTTGTTTCAATGCCACAGACACAGCCGACAGTTTAGGACTTCCTGCAGGAGCCCCCTTTTTCAGCACTCACCCTCCCCAGGGGCTGAAGTAGGACTGCTCACACCAAGGGTCTCCCAGCGGGGTCTTCCAGAAGTGTGGGGAGACTTGGGACAAAGGAGGGAGAAGGCACATGAGACAGACACCTCTGAGGAGGCCCACAGACGCCTCTTCCTATGCTGTTCTGACCCAGTGCTGATCGGGGAACAGAAGCCCAGAGACAGAGGGGAGCTGCCTAAAGCCATGGGGTGGGGTGGGGGGGGGTGGTTTTCAGCACTGGATACTGTCCCCAGTGGAGGCAGGAGATCGGGGAGGGATAGGGAGGGTCAGGGTGGCTGAGGCCTGGGGAAGTGGTCCAGAAGGTTCTGTAGGAATTGTGGGGGTGTGGGGAAGGCTGGTCGCGGTGGGGGGAGTGGGAGCGTGGATAAAGCTGGAGAGCCTATCAGGCGCTGCGGATCTGGGCTCAGAAAAGCAAAGCTTATAGGCCTAGTCACAGGCCCCTCAGACTGGACCCACGTGGTCCCTGATGTCACCACTCTGCTGGAGCAGAAGGATAAGGACTGCCGAAGGGCCACCTAGTTTTAGTTTGGGGGACAGAGTGAGGGGAGATGGCCGATTGCCTCTGAACAGAGCTGGCTGCTGGACGGCCTCTGGCTTGGGTGACAGATAGGCGCATTTATTACGCATTATTACGTTGATGGGTCATTAAGGCGGGGAGTGGTCTCTCCCCGATCTCAGTTGATACAGGGTCTGCTTGGGGATGAGGGCTCCCGGGGAGCCAGGCCTCGTGCCCCTTTGGTGCCTCCTGCTTGGAGCTCGTACGACAAAGGGCATTATATCTTTGGGAGCCCCCACCACGCAAGCCAGCCTGTGTGTCTGAAGACAGCTGGGCAGGAGGGGCCGGGCAGTCAGGGTTCTGGTCCTCACTTGGCGCCCTGGACCAGGTCTTGCCTCAGCTGCTGAGAAGGCTGTGCTGTGCCTCAGGGCTGTGATACGCTGAGGTTCCCCGACCCAGGACACTCAGAGATGAAGCGGGCAGGGAGAGACAGGGGCATCCCAGCAGGCCAAACATAGGCCCCAGTGGGCTCATTGGTCTCCCTGGGGGCAAGGATCAGAGACCTACTCGAGCAGGTGCAAGTTAGGGTGGGGGCTGCAGGGGTGAGGGAGGCAGGGACAGACACAAGGGCCCTACTGCAACCATAATGTTGACACCAAGAACTACAACTGCTCTGACCTCGGGACCTTTTCTTTCCTGCCCTTCCTGATATTTCGGTCCCAGCTTCCTTCAGATCAGTCTGATCCCTAAGTATGACCAGGAGGGGCATACTTTGTCTTAAGGCCATTTTCTAGGTGTCCCAGGACACCTAAAAAAACCTCAGGAACCAGATGTTCTTGAATTAGCTGCTTTCCCTTTGTCCATTCAGCTGTGGGTGGCAGGTCACGGTGTATAAAGTGTGGCGTTCAGTGGGCGGGTGTCCTGAGGTTTACATGGCCTCAGCTGGCAGTCAGAGATGACTTCCTGGAGGAGGCAGGGCTCCAGGATCAGGCTGGAGCTTGGGTGAAGGTGGGAGAAGGGAACCAAGAGCTGAGGAGGAGGCTGGTGAGAAGTGGGCTCCGAAAGGGTCCAGAGGTGGGAGTAGCTAGCATGGGTCCGGTGGCAGCAGGGACACTGGAGGCAATGGCATCTCACCAGCTCTGTCCCCTAGGCCTACAGGATGATGAGGACCTACAGGTCCTGCTGAAGGGCAGCCAGCTCCTGAAGGTGAAGTCCAACTCATGGCGGCGGGAGCGTTTCTACAAGTTGCAGGAAGACTGCAAGACCATCTGGCAGGAGTCCCGCAAGGTCATGCGGACCCCAGAGTCCCAGCTGTGTGAGTATCCCAGGGTGGGAGCAGAGTGGGGGGCCTGTGCTTGCGTGGGGAAACTGATGCTGGTTGGGGCAGGGAGTGGGGGACGGTCAATCCTGGACCGGGACCCCAAATAGGGAAGCCGAGGCCTGGCCTGGTGGGGCCCGGGTCGGTCACACAACCAGGACCAGATGTGGGGAGACTGAAAGTTGGCAAGGGTGGCGGAGAAGAGTTTAGTAAATCACCGATAGGGAAACTGAGGCCTAGTTTGGGCCAGAGAGGGTGGTCACGGAGGACCACAGATGGCGAGGCCTTTGGGGGGGTAGGGGTATATAAACACGACCACAGATGGGAAGGTCCGGCTCAGAAGTAGGGAGGTTGCTGGAAGTGTTGTCTGAACTCACAGGGTCTCCACTGAGACAGATGTGGGAGGGAGGGAAGTTGGGTGGAGTTTGACTCCAGGTATAATGAGGCCACAAGCCAGGCCCAAAGTCCGGGGGCAGATAAGGCCCTTCCTGGTGTCAGTGGCCAGGATATGAGGTGGGGCTGCGGGAGGCGGTTCCTCCCCAGGACTGGGGCCATAGCGAAGAGGTGGGGTGGAGCAGAGAGAGCCCTTCGCTGGGCAGTTCCCTTGAGGGTGTTGGGCCTGAGGGTTTTCTGGCAGCTTCTGAAAAGGCCCAGGAACCCAAGCCTCAGGCCTGTACACGGAGAGCGCCTCCAGCAAGCCCTCACAGAGACAGCTACCTCTTAACACAGAATGCCCTAAAGGCTCTGCAACACGAGTGTTCCCCTCCACATCTTTACGTGGTGGGAAATTTTTAGATCAGTGCTACCCCCAAAAAACTGTCTTTGGTAACAGGAACGTTCTAGATCTGTGCTGTCCAGTATAGGTCCACTGGCTACCTATGGCCATCAAGCACTGGCAACGTGGCTGGGGTGACTAAGGAACTGAATTCTTAATTCTACTGAATTTTAACTAATTTATATCTAAATAGCCACATGCGGCGGGTGACTGTTGTGTTGGACGCGCAGGAAGATCACTGCCGTTGGACTCCACACAACCCAGATCCCTGCCTTTGGCTGTGGCAGTGGCAGGGTGGGGGAGGGGGCACACGGAGACAGGGTCAGTCGGCTGGGAGTGAGATCAGACACGGGCAACAGGCCCGGGGTGGGAGGGGGGACAGCAGGAAGCGGAGGGCCTGCCCGCTGAGGGTGCCCAGGGAGGGTTTGCCGGCCTCGGGAAACTGAGGTAGTAAGCTGAGAAAGTATGGCCTGCTGCCCCTGTGGCCTGTAGCAGGGCTGGAGGTGAGGCGGGGCAGGAGCAGGGTCGGATGGGGAGCTGGGCTAGGGCCTTGGGGCTATGGGCCCCGGGTTTCTGAGCAGGGCAGGGTCGGCTTGGAACGGATGGAGCCTGAAGTCTCTCAAAAAACCACCCGAGTGCACATGAGCCGCACAGCATGGAAGCGACCCAGACCTTTCCTGTCCGTGGCACCAGCCAGTCTCCTTCATAGGCCTCTGCCCTGATATGGGGCTTCCTGTTAGATGCTGGGTGGGGGGGGGGCGCCGCATGGTGGGAACGGGGCATCTTGTTCTCTGAGCCCTGGGGATTCCCAAGAGCCCGCACAGCAGCCAGTACACTTGTGTGCCCAGCACTTGGTGGCGGTGGGCGGGGGGGCGGAGACAGGGGAGGGGACCTGGACTAGGGAGATGAGCCCCTCATCCTGGGACAGCTGTGAACACGAGGGCAGGAGGGGCGTCCCAGGCAGGAGACCAGCGTGAGCAAAGATGCAGAGGGGAGGACGAGGAAAGGGCACAAGTGAGGGGCCTGGGCAGAGGGGCTGCAGGGGTGACAGGTGGGGGGTCAGGCACCAGGTGTGCTCAGGTGAGGAACATGGCTAGAAGAGGCTCTCTTCCGTGACAGAGACACCGAGACAGCTCTCGGGCTGAGCACCCGTGTTGGCTGCTTTCCTTCTCTGGGTGAGCAGCGAGACTGTTGGCCCCAAATGCGCTCTGTCCTCGGGGAAGCTGAGGCCAGGTGAGGGAGGAGGGGAGCCGCGCCCCCAGTTCTATCTGCCTCTGCTTCCTGCTAAGTTTCCCCTGACCCTTCCACTACCACACTCCCCCCACTCTGGCTCCCAGAGGCAGACAAGGCATTATCAGCAGCGGAGGCATCTGGAATCTCTCTCTGGTGCGGGTGGGGGTGCTGGCCCAGCTCCACAGCTCAGGTTTCCTGTTGTCACCCCAGCCTGGGTCAGCTGCCTGCCGCTGGGGTGAGCCTCGCCGGCACAGGAGGCCGTGGGCAGAGGGATTAAGCACAGGTACCCCCGGCACCCCAGATGGCCTAGGGCTCACGTGTCTGGCCATCAGAGCCTGCTGCCCAGGCGGGGGCACATGTCATACACCTAGGGCTTGTAGGTAGGTGGCTGGGAGACGTCTGGGCACTCAGGGTGCAGGCAGGCACCAGGAGGAGAGGTGAGCTTGTAGCCAGAGCTGGTCTAGGACCCGAGACAGATGGATGTGGATGGCTCAGGACGCGGGTGGGGCAGGGGCAGAGCCTGAACCTTGATGCTGGACAGCTTAGCGTGAGCCCAGCTGGTGGAACTGGCTCACGGCCAGGCCAGGGAGGACACACTGGGGGTACTAGGGAGGCAAGGGCTTGCTGCTCCCTGAAGCTTGGAAGGCTTGAATGTGATGGGAGGCCTTTCCCCCCAGCTTCTGAGGACAGAATGGTGTACTCCCTCAGACTCCTAAGGGGCACCCCTTGGGGTCCTAGAGGGCCACGGCCTTCCTGCACCCTCCTTGCCAAGGGGTTCTCTGAGGTCAGGACACACACAGACACATGCAGGGCAAGGCCCTGTCTACACTGCAACACAAGCACTTCTCCCTCTACACCCACACCCCAGGGCCATGATGGCTTCTGTCTCCTGGATGGTCAGGAGAGGGGCCTGGAGGCTCTCATGGCTGTCTGAGGGGAAGACGGTACAAAGTCAAGGGCAATGAGGAGGGTTTGTGGCCTCCTGTCTGTCGCAGGCTCCAAGCTCCAGAGTGGTCTCCCCCATCTCTAAAAGCCCTGTCCGGCCCCAGTACTCTCCCAGGGGTCCTACACCCTCCCAGTCCAGAAAGAGCAGGGCTGGGGTCCCAGGTGCCCCTCTCCGAGGTCGGCCTCTCCCTCTGTCCCTCCCTGTGCGTTTCCGCTGCGCACCACAGTTGTGTCTCACGTTCTTCCAACACCTCAGTCTCTGGCCTCCTTCCTCCCTTCTGTGCCGCCTCGTCTGTCCTCCTGTCCCTCTCCTTGTCTCTGGATCGTACAGCTCCAGCCCCGGCTCTGCCGGCCCCTACGCTGTGCCTTGGGCCCATCGGGGGCAGGGACTGGCCTCGCAGCTCTCTCTGCCACCTGTCCCCTTTTTGCAGTCTCCATTGAGGACATTCAGGAGGTGCGGATGGGGCACCGCACGGAGGGCCTGGAGAAGTATGCCCGCGACGTGCCCGAGGACCGCTGCTTCTCCATCGTCTTCAAGGACCAGCGCAATACACTAGACCTCATCGCCCCATCGCCAGCTGACGCCCGGCACTGGGTGCAGGGTCTGCGCAAGATCATCCACCACTCGGGCTCCATGGACCAGCGGCAGAAGCTGCAGCAGTATCCTTTTGGTGGCAGTGGGCCCTGGCCCAGCCTGTGGATACTGGCTTTGGCCATCCCCAGGGCAACATGGGAACGGAAGATACCCAGATCGGGCCGTCGCACCAAAATAGCATAGCCTGGGGGCTTAAACAACAGAAGTTCACTTTTTCACAGTTCTGGAGGCTGGAGGTCCGAGGTCTGGTTGCCAGCATGGTTGGGTTCTGATGACAGCACTCTTCCTGGCTTGTGGGTGACTGCCTTGTCACTGTGTCCTCACATGGCAGAGAGAGAGAGAGAGAGAGAGAGAGTCAACACGATCCCTGGTGTGTCTTCTCATAAGGGCACGGATTCCATCATGAGGGCTCCACCTCGTGACCTCATCTAAGCCCCCCAAGACGGATCCCCAGATGCCATCATATTGGGGGTTAGGGCTTCACCGTATTAATTTGGGGGAACACACTTCAGTCCTTAGCTGAAGGGAGGCAGAAAAGGTACCTGGAGCCCTATTTGGTCTACACTGTGCACCCCCCAATGTCCCCTCTTCTCCCCACCAATAACCAGCACAGGTGAGGCTAACGGCAGCAGCCTGCTTCCACGAGAGGCCGTGCCTTGGGTGTTTTAAGCATGTTTCCTGGAGTTACTACATTTTTTTCTCTCTGGGAATTTGGGAGGCCCTGGTACCCCCTGTGCCATTCTTGGGGGAGTGGGGTCCAAGTTTCCCGGGGCCTGGTGTGCAGGCCAGCCTGTGGGCTTAAAACAAATTCACTTCCAAGTCTGGGTGCACAACATGCTAGCCTAGGATTCAAAGTGATCGGGCTCCTGGTACATAGGGTTAGGGAGGAGCCAGCTCCAGCCCCCTCTTTTAATGACAGTTTTATTGACATATAATTCACATACCGTGTAATTCACCTGCTTAAAGTGTACAAGTTAATGCTGTTTAGTATATTCACAGAGTCGGAAGTAATTTTACAACATTTCATCACCTTAAAAAGAAACCCCACACCCCTTAGCAGCCACTCCCCATCTCCCCATGACCCCCCAGGCCCTAGACAACCACTAATCTACATTTTGGCTTTATATGTCTGCCTTTTTCTGGGCATCTCACGTAAGTACAAGATACAGTCTTTTGTGACTGGCTTCTCTCACTGAGCATGTTTTTCAGGCAAATCCATGCTGAATGGATGAATCAGGACTTCATTCCTTCTTATGGCTGAATAACATTCCATGGCGTGATTATTCCCCAGTTTATTTATCCATTCAGTAGTTGATGGACATTTGGGTTTCCACTTTGGAGCTTTTATGAACCAATGCTGCTATGAACATTTGTGTAGAAGTTTCATGCGGTATATACCTACAATTTATAAGTCTTATGGTAACCGTATGTTTAACCTTTCGAGGAATTGCCGAACTGCTCTCCAATGAGGAAATTTACATTCTCACCAGCAGTGTATGAGGGTTCCAACTTTTCACATCTTCGCTAAGGCTTGTTACTGTCTTTTTTTACTGTAGCCAGCTTTGTGGGTATAAAGCGGCATCATTGTGGTTTTGCTTTGCATTTCCTTGATAGCTAATGATGTCGGGTATCTTTACATGTGTTTATTGGTCATTTGTATATCTTCTTTGAAGAAATATCCGTTAGATCCTTTGCCCATTTTGTGTTGTTAAGCTCTTAAAAAAAAAAAAGATTTTGTTTTTAAGTAATCTCTACACCCAACATGGGGCTCAAACTCACAACCCTGAGATCAAGAGTCGCACGCTCTACTGACTAAGCCAGCCCGGTGCCCCTATTAAGCTCTTTTATAAATGGATCTTCGAAAAAAAAATTTTTTTAATGTTTATTATTGAGAGACAGAGAGACACAGAGCGTGAGCAGGGGAGGGGCAGAGAGAGGGGGAGATAGAATCCGAAGCAGGCTCCAGGCTCTGAGCCATCAGCACAGAGCCTGACGCGGGGCTCAAACTCACAAACTGCAAGATCATGACGTGAGCCGAAGTTGGTCGCTTAACCAACTGAGCCACCCAGGCGCCCCATTAAATGGATCTTTTTTTAAAAAAAATTTAATCGTGGTAAAATATACGTAACATAAAATTTACCGCCTTCAACTACTGTAGTAGTGTTGAGTACATTCCCATTGTCGTGCAACCAACATTCAGAGCTTTTTTCGTCTTGTGAAACTGAAATTCTACATCCATTAAACAACTTGCCATCCTCCCACCTCCAATCCCCACGCCCCAGCCCCCAGCAACCACCGTTCTCCTTTCTGTCTCTATGAATTCGACGACCCTAGGAACCTCAGATAAGTAGAATCATACAGGATTTGTCTTTTTACAACTGGCTCATTTCACTTAGCATAACGTCCTTAAGATTTATCTACGTTGTAGCGTGCGTCACAGTTTCCATTCTTTTTAAGGTGGAATAATGATAGTCCATTGTCTGCACAGACCACATTTTGTTCATCCATCCATCCACTGAGGGACACCTGGTTGCTTCCACCTTTTCACTGTTGTGAGTAATGCTACTCTGGGCATACCTCTTTAGACCCTGCCTTCAGTTCTCTGGGGGTATAGACGCAGAGGGAGAGCTGCTAGATCATATGACAATTCTACTTTCAGCTTTTTGAGGAACCACCATACTGGCTTCCACAGTGTTTGTACTACTTTGCATTGCCACCGACAGTGCACAAGGATTCCGATTTTCTCCAAGTCTTCAACACACTTGCTGTTTTCTGGGGTTTGTGTTTTGGTTTGTTTTGGTTTCTGATAGGTATCTTATTGTGGTTTTGATTTGCATTTGATTCATGATGTGGAGTGTTTTTTTGTTTGGTTTTTTGGTTTTTTTTTTTTAATGTGCTTTTCTGCCATCTTCTCTGGAGAAATGTTTACTCAGATCCCTGGCCCAGTTTTTCACTGGGGCTCTTTGTCTTTTTATAATTGAGTTCTAAGAGTTATTTATATATTCTAGACACAAGTCTCAGCTCGGTTATGCTTTGCAAATAATTTCTCCTATTTGGGGGATTCTTTTCTTTTTCTCGATGGTATTTGAAGCACAAGTTTTTAGTTTTGGTGAAGCCTAATTCAGCTACTTTTTGCTTTTGTCGATGTGATTTTTGATGTTATATCGAAGAAGGCTTTGCTTAACCCAAAGTCACAAACATTTACTCTTATGTTTTCTTCTAAAAGTTTTACAGTTTTAGCTATTACATTTAGGTGTTTGATTTTTTTTTTTTCTTTTTTGACTGATGCTCCGCATACCGGGGTGGGACTTGAACTCACAACCCTGAGACTAAGGGTCACGTGCTCTATGAACAGAGACAGCCAAGCACCCCAGGTCTCTGATTCATTTTGAATTTGTTTTTGTGGCATGATGTGGTTGGGGGGGGGTCCACTTCATTCTTTATGTAGGTAGCTGTCTCCGCCTTTGTTTGCATTATTAGATTGTCTTTTCCTCACTGAACTGTATTTAACAACAAAATCAAGCTGATTCATAGTAAATGAGGGTTTATTTAATGATTCAGTTTTATTCCATTTATCTATACATATGCATGCACCAAATTTCAGTTACCATAACTTTGTACTAAGTTTTTTTGTTTTATTTATTTATTTATTTATTTATTTATTTAAAATCCAAGTTAGTTCATGTACTAAGTTTTGAAATCAAGGACGTAGTAGTCTTCAAATTTGTTCTTTTTTTCTTTCTTTTTTTTTTTTTTTTTGAGATTAGTTGGACTATCCTGGATCCCTTGATGCCCCATATAAATTTTAGGATCAGTTTCTGCAAAGTGGCCAGCATGATTCTGATAGGGGTTTATGTATTGAATCCTTGTAGATCATCTGGGAGTATTCCCCATTTAACAAATCAAGTGTTGTGATCTGTAAATATGGGTATCTTTCCATTTATATAGGTCTTCCTTAGTTTCTTTCAACATGTTGTTGTCGTTTTCAGAGTATAAGTTACACATTTAAATTTCCTTACTCTCTGATTTTCAGCAGTTCAGAGTTTTGAGTAAGTTCAGTCAGACTATCTATCTCCGATTTTGAGCTTTCTTAAAAGTCCAATTCTGTAGTACAGGCTGGGCTTGTTTGACAGCTACTGCCCTCTGGAGATTCTTACCCACCCCAGACCAAGGCTCATAAACCATTCCTCACGGAATAGCAATCGGCTTTGGGACCACTGTGCATTGGACCACTTGAACGTGCGGATTTTTTTTTTTTTTTTTACCTAGAATTCTGCCCTAATTATTTTCTCATGTAAATATATACATAAAATATGGCCATGTTAGAATGAAATTTTAAAGGCCCCCAAAACCCATCTCCTTCAGAAACTGCTGATTTGGGTTCTGCACCCAATCTTCTCTGCATTTCAATTTGCCTCATGATGCATTTGCCAAAAATAGTGGAGATCATACATTTGTATCCACTTTCCGTGTAACATTACGTCATAATTCTTTCCCCATAAACAGCTGTAACGACCGTAATATTCCATTGAGTAGATGCCCTATAAGTTAGCGCTCCATTCTTTTAGCGGTGAACATTTATCTTTAGTGTTTCACTACTACAAGTAATATGGCAAAGAACTATGTTCATAAAACCTTTCAGTATTTAGTAGGAGTATTTCCTTACGAATAGATTCCTAGAAGTGGAATTAGTGAGTCAAATGATGTAGACGTGTAGACGTTAGCTGTATCTCTACACCACATTCCTAAGGGTTGAACTGATTTCCTTTGTCCAAGTGCAAGATGGGAGTGTCCGTGTCACCTCACCCCCACGTGCCTTCAAAGTAACATACTTTGAAATTGCTGATCTTACAGTTTAAGAAACCGCAGCTCATTTGCAAATTGTTAGTCTCTTTGATTACCGAGAACGTCTGTAAAAGGTCAGTTCATGTCCTTCTCTCATTTAGTTATTAGGGTCACCGTACTGTTTTCTGGACTTTATTTTTTCTTTCTTTGACCCTCAGAATTGTGTAAAGTTTATATGGCATCAATTATGTTGTTTCCTTTGCGACTTTTTCTAAAAACCTGCTGTTGGTTTTTAAAATTATGGTCGTTGTCTTTGTTGTCTAATTTCTGTGGAATGTACTGTGGGGTTCCTCTTTCTTGACTTCTCCAGGTCTAGTCTGAGGGGAGAGGGGACAGAAGGGAGAGGTGGGGGCCTAAGTGCCCCCATCGTGACAGCATGAGCCGGGCTTTGTTTTTTGCTTGTGATATCCTCACCTTCTGATCTGTGGCTTAAAGTTTTGACGTTTCCTGTAAAATAAGCCTCACGTGCTTTAGTCAAGTTGGCTAACAATGATGTATTGGAAACCAGAAGGACAAACTTTGAAATGGTAACAGTAATTATCTGTGGGTGATACAACCATGGGGGATTTGTTTACTTTCTGCATTTTTTTTAAAGTTTATTTATTTTGAGAGAGAGAGAGAGAGTACTAGCTGGGGAGAGGGGCAGAGAGAGAGAGAGAGGGAGAGAGAACCTTAAGCAGGCTCCATGCTCAGAGTGGAGCCCGATATGGGGTTTGATCCCATGTCGGTGAGATGAGGACCTGAGCCGAAATCGAGAGTCAGACACTTGACTGACTGAGCCACCCAGGCGTCCCTACTTTCTGCATTTTCTACGTTGTCTATAAGCGAACTCTTCCACAGTGAGAAAATAAATGTCTTTAGAAATGTGAAAAGGTTCAAATCCAGCCAACAGAAAATAGACCCCTTAAGAGGATGTAACATTTTCTCCGAAGAGCCCATCGGATCTTGTCCCTGGGATGCTGATGTGCAGCTGCACCTGCAGGGGGCTTTGTCTGTGGGTGGTCTCAGTCCACCTGGGCCCAGGACTTCACCCTGGGCTTGAAACATGGCTCTAGCTGGGACCGTGGGGGTATCAGGGCTCCTGGGTTCTTTCTTTCCTTACTTCTTGCCCAGCTGGATTCACTCTTGCTTGCGAAAAGCTGACAAAAACAAGGACAACAAGATGAGCTTCAAGGAGCTGCAGAACTTCCTGAAGGAGCTCAACATCCAGGTGGATGACAGCTACGCCCGGAAGATCTTCAGGGTGAGGCAGGGAGTGAGGGCTGCTTCTGTGTGGCAGTGGGCCCTAGACCCTAGTGGGGAGCATGCTCTGAGCCCGGCCCACGTGGCCTTGCAGGAATGTGACCGCTCCCAGACAGACTCGCTGGAGGATGAGGAGATTGAGGCCTTCTACAAGATGCTGACCCAGCGGGAGGAGATTGACCGCACCTTTGCGGAGGCCGCAGGCTCCAGGGAGACGCTGTCAGTGGATCAGTTAGTGACGTTCCTGCAGCACCAGCAGCGGGAGGAGGCGGCGGGGCCTGCGCTGGCCCTCTCTCTCATTGAGCGCTATGAACCCAGCGAGACGGGTGAGGGCCTGGCTGGGGCCTTCAGCCTGCACTGCCTGGGTCTAACACTGGCTGGGAGACGCCTGGGGAGTGTCAGGAGCTGGAGGGAAGGGGGGTGCCTCAGCCTGCCCCATGAAGGCAAGCAGATGGGAGACAGGACTCCAGCATCACTACCCCTCTCTCGGGTCCTTCTCCAGAGGGGTTTGAGGGTCCTCCAGGAAACAGGAGAGGAGGCTGGAAAAACAAACCCTTTTCCTGCTTCCTTCTTTGTGCCCATTCTGAGCCCCTCCCTGTGCTTCAGTCTTGAGGCCCAGAGGAGGAGGAGGAGGCAGACTGAGGAGGGGGCCTCGGTGTGGGGGACC